TCTGCTTTTCTCCTGATTCGATTCTTCTACGATTTTTTAGATGTCGATTTGATTTAAATCGTGATTCTATGATATTGTTGATTTTCTCGATCTTTAGTCTGTATTTTAAAGTGAAACAGATCAATGATTCTGATCGTCTGCTGACTATTAAAGGAACCAGATTTACCCAAAAATACACATGGAGGTCAGATTTTAGGATTTACTCTGAAAATTTGAAGGAAAAAAAGATTTTTGAACATAAAAATCGATTTAAAAATGTGAAAACTAAAAATGGTGATACTGATGTGAATCGATTTTTCTCCCGCCTCTAAAGAACAGCCAATAAAAAGGGGAGTTTCACTTTAACATCGTAACACTTTACGAGAAAACGTCGCAGAGACACAAAGACCTCACAGACGCAGGAGATCAATAAACACTGATACAGTTTTATATCCTGATATTGATCGATTTATCCACTGAGATAAACTTTGTCGCCCAGCCCTCCACAGGGCCCAGTCCACTTTAATCATAGAGGGTCCAAACTGAGGGGCCGACTCTGACCTGTTTATGTGGCCCCCCAGTCCCCGGGGTCCTGAAACAGACTGTTCTCTAAGAGGTTCTGCTTTCTCGGACTGTCACAGGTCCTTCAGATGCAGTGTAACATCGAACCCGTGGACGAAGGCACCAAGCACCACGTGAGTCTCTGTCGTGTCTCCTCTGACCCTGATCCTGTACCTCTGTGTTAGTCCAGGTTCTAATCAGGTCCTCTCATGTCCCCCTTTCCAGCTGACCCTGCTGCTGAAACTTGAAGATAAACTCAACAGGCACCTGAGCTGTGATCTCTTACCCAGTAAGTCTGTCCGCACCTTCAGCACCGCCCACACGGTCCCCCTATAACTGATCAGGGTTATCAATATCTTATCAATATCATCACAATGTTGTTGAAACATGTTTAAAAAGTCCTTCTACACGCTCTGAGATCATTTCACAAAGTTTTATTTTGAAAAACCTTCAGAATAAACTTTTCCTAAACCTTAAATAACAGGAACGATGAACTTAAAGAAGTAAAGATGGAGCCTGAAGAGGTCAGAGGTCACAGTAAAGTCATGTGACACAAACATGAACATTAACAACATTTAAATAAAATCACGTTCATTATTGTGAAAATTCTGACAAACAAAAACCAGAAAAACGACTTTATGAAACTAAACGACCGACATGGAAACGAAGGAGACGATTTAAAATCAGATCTGAGAATAAATCTGACGAGACGATCGTCAGTTTTCTTCAGATTAAAATCTTAAAATCTGCAGATTTACTTTCTGATCTGTGAGGGGAAACGATGGGAACGCCGGCGCTGAATAACCTCTCAGACGGCGTGCTGCTCGCTGGGATGCACAAAAGCTTCCTGGCGACCGTTTGTAGAACGTAAACCGCCACGATAGTCGCCTCACAAACGGATCCGGTAGGAATCGGCGGACGGTGAAAATTGCCGCCATTCCGGATGTGGTAGAAATTTTGGGTGAGCGAGACTCTTCTGCCCCCCTTCAGACTCACTGTGCCCTGAATGCTGGACTGGGTCTCAGAGAAGGTTCTGGACCCAGTGTGGACCGTGTTTTTCCACAGAACCAGAACCAGACTCCTTCATGAAGGGTAGGAGGTGGACTGTCCTGATGGCGTCCTCTCAGTCTGGAGATAGATCTCCAAAAAGTCAAAAGTGTTCGGATCAGAGTCGGGACAGGGTTTTAAGGCCAACTGGACCTGCTGGAGGTCAGGAAAGGTCAAGAACCTCATCCAGTCCAGTTGGCCTTCAATCACAGATCTCATGACGTCTTCATGAGGACGGTGTCAGGTCCAGACCCGGTTTGATGACGGTGTTGTGGGTGTGTCCTTTCAGATGAGAACGTGCAGGAGCTGGCTGTGGAGCTGGTCCAGCTGGGCTTCATCAGTGAGGTGAGTGACGATGGGAGGAGCAGAGGAGGAGCAGAGGAGGAGCAGACCCCAAACTCTCCTCCTAACCCTCTCCGTCTGTGTTTCAGGGGGACCAGCCTCGGCTCGCCTCCGTTCTCGAAGAGGCCTTCTCAAAGTTCTACAGTCGGAACGGTTCTCTCAACCCGGTGACGGTCTCCTCGTAGCGGAGGACTCCCTCGGCCTTCTTTCAGCCCTCCTCGTCCTCGGGGTCAGGACTCGCTTTTTGCTCCACCTCTGAGTTGCAGGGAAGCTTTGCGAGGACGGAGGAGGGAAGCCTTGGTCCGGCTGCAGATCCTGCAGCCTGTGGTCGTTATCTTCTGGGGGGGGAAGCTGCCACTGCGTGGTCGTCGCTCTCTATCTTTATTCTTTGTCCCTCCCACCCAAAACAGCCATCTGCTCCTCTGAAGGAGGACGTCCTCGCTGCAGCTTCCAGGAAAATACTCTCCGCGTTTCACTTCTCGGCTCATTTCGTTCGGAAAACCACCGAGGTGAGCCCGACGAGCGCGGACATCTCCGGAGTTTTCCTCTAGTCAGTGTTCAAAGTTTTAAATATTTTTACTTCAAACTGTTGAGAAGTTTTCTGTCCCGAAGTGTGTGTGTGTGTGTGTGTGTGTGTGTGTGTGTGTGTGTGTGTGTGTGTCGTAAGGTCAACTCTGGTCCTTTCAATCTTTAACCCCTGAGTCAGGCAGCGTCCCACCTGGAGACCCTCCCCTTCATCTTCTGCACCGCCGTCTGAAGAGCCACAAGAGAATCTATTTATTTGTGTATCTACGCTTGAGTGTGTCCTTCACTTCAGCACTAAGGCCCGTGGGCCCGTGGGTCGGTGGGTCGGTGGGTCGGTCAGGGGTGTTTGAATGTATGGGGGGGGGTCCGGTTTCACTCGTGGTCCAACGGCTTCAGTCGCCCCTGTTTCTGCAGAACTTCCTGTTTAGTCTGGGTCAGTCCTGGAGAAACCACACGTCTGCAGGTTCTGGACTTGGTTTGGTCATTACCGGACCAAAGTCCAGATCCTGCAGCTGTCAGTCAGTCCACATTTCCAAGTTGTAGTTTCTGAAGTCAAGAGTGCGACGGCGGTTCTGGTTCTGACCCCCTCTGCTCCTTTGCACGGCTGAACTCTTGGAGATGTTCTGTGGCCTCCTTCTCACTAACAGAAGGTTCGAGTCTGTGCTTCGCTCCGCTCCGGTCTACGACCTTCTGAAGGCTGTGTAGACCCCCTCAGATCCGGGTCTGGGACCACCTGGCATGCTTGTAACCATCTAGTCTCACTGTCTGCTGGACACGGTTCTGTTTCTGCATTTACTCCTTTTTTTCACTTCCTAAAATAAACATTTACACTCTCAGCTCCTCAGGACTCTGTTCTTTTTTTTGGTTTTCTTGAATAACCTCGTGGTCGAACTCGTCCTGACAGGTCAGCTGAGGTGAGCCGGGAGGCGGTGGTACTCACCTGTGGTCCTGGTCCTGGTTCTGGTTCTGACCATCACCACCTCCTCACGGCACCACTTGTGTTTAGTCTCTTTGCTAAAGAAATGAGTCAAAGTTAAAAAGATGTTTGGTGTCTAGTACTATGTCTGTGACCCTATATGTACTAACCTCAGTAGATCATGGTGTAGTTCCGTTCAGTAACAGAACCTCATTGGAAAATTCGCTGATTTAACTTTACTGTGCTCTTGTTCAAATATATCAACACGACAGCACATAAATCCATACCTGTTAACAAAATCATGATTTTATTGATAATTCGGCTCAATAAAAACACCTTTACCTTTTCATTTTACTACAGTGGAAGTTTATTGGCCCAGATTATAGACTACAGAGGTGCAGAAACGCCCCCGCTTAAGTTTGTTTTCTTAGGAGTTAGAACAACTCTGAATATAGAACTATGTCTGTGACCCTGTATGTCCTGTTGATGAAGTTAGGTGCTGTTCTGAGCATTATTTGTGGCGTTTTGGTTGAGGTTTGTTTATGGCTACAAACCTCAACCAAAGCGGGGCTTAAAAAAGGCGGGAAAGAAAAAACTAACCCCGCACGTTTGTTCGTGTTTTCAATAAATCTGTGAGTGAACGAACAGACAGCAGACAAAATGAAGTTGTTGAAATTCTTTATAGAAAAAAACCATCAGGAGCAGGAATAACAACAATCATCATCAGAGCATCTCTGTCTGACAAATGTAGAAACTGTAGCCCTTGTCCAAGTCGATTTTCACAAACATACTGAAAGTCACGACATGTGCTCCGATGATGGTCCGATAAAACACGTTTCATGCCGACAAACACAGAGCCGTACAAAATGGCCGCCGTTTAATAAAAGTACAAGACGACTAAAAAAGAGTTTGGATAGAAAACAGCCTAAAAACACGCTTTACAGAAAAAACTACCAAAATCCACTTCCTGTTTTTGTTTTCATCTTCAATTCTGTACAAGGTGAGAAAAACCTAGAAAAACAGTACATAGATAGCACTTCAAACACATGACTCTTCACATGAACATCGTCCAGTTTGACAGTTTATAGGCACAGTATTTATAACGCGGACCCCCAACATGGTTTCTGTGACCCCCCACACCGGAGAGCTGCCAGATGTCAGGATGCCATCGCCCAACGATCAAGCCCCTCCCACGCCGTCCCCTCACCGCCTGCTGCTTTACAAACCCGTCTGGATCCAGTTGAGAGGTCTCACGGGTCCGACTGAAATCCGGGGCTCGTTCAGTTTGTGTTTTAGAAACGTGAACAAGAACATTTTAACATCTTTGCTGCTACAACCAGTCCTGACCAATCCAGAATCACCAGAGGCCCCTCCCACCAAGAACCGGACAGAACCACCGCAGACATAGGTCCAGATCTGGGTCACAGGAGCGAGTTTCCCCTTAGATGAAAGGTTTCGTTTTTCTTCGTTTTGGACCCGTTTGTGTTTCAAACCGATTCCCTCAAAGGTTTCTGTCGGGTTTTAAGAAAACTAAGGACCAGTCTAGTTTCTGGGAGGTTCTGGGCTGTCGTCTCTGGACCTAAAGGTTCCCTTCAGTGAAACACTGAAACGAACAGAGGCGCTGATGTTCTTGGAGAAAAAGGATCGACAGACTTGTTGCTGAACCCCGCAGGACTAATCTAAAGTTGTGCTTTCCTCGGATCAGAACCCGTCTGTCTCCTAAAAACTGGACCGACAGCAGAACTCTTCATCTGAAGGAGAAGTGACCCGCCGATCGTGTGGACCATCAGGAATCAGCAAATGGAAATCACAACGTCAAGTTAGCACCATCAGAGCCGCCGAGGGCCTCATCGCACTTCTGGAGGATCCGGCTGGTTCCTTTCGGTGGCTCTTGGTGTCATTCCTGTGGTGGTGATGAGGTTCTGCCAGGACCCGGGTCTGAGGATCACCGGATCATTTCTTCAGGCACTGGTACATCAGCGCTCGAGGGTTCAGCATGTAGCGCTCAGAGTTGAGTAACTTTGTGAGATACTGCGGCACCGGAGGTCGAGGAGCCGCGTAGGACACGCCGGGACTGACGGCCATGACCTCGGCTATCTTCTGCTTCATCTCCTGGATCTCCCGGTCCTGCTTCAGAACTTTATCTGCAGGACAAACAGAAGAAGAACATGAAGGAGTGAAGACCACAGGACTCAGGACCATAGACTGTATAAACTACGGTTTAAGGATTTGAAGATGAAAAGTTCTCGCCGAGAGTCTCTGTGATGACGCTCGGCTCAAACAGCGTATCCCCCGGTGATCTACTCAATCTCTGTCCTCCCATAGGCTGTATCAGGTGTCAATCATAGAAAACATGAACCCCCTGGACCAGTATGTTTCCAAAAGTCCAAAATTTTCTGAAACATTCCGGAATCTTATTGATCTTTTAGAATGTCTTTGATGTTACGGAATGTTCAGTGATATTCCAGAATGTTCTACATCCTCCAGAGCGTCACCACCACAGACTGTATTTACTCATTCAGCAGGAGAGTCTCTGTGATGACGCTCGGCTCAAACAGCGTATCCCCCGGTGATCTACTCAATCTCTGTCCTCCCATAGGCTGTATCAGGTGTCAATCATAGAAAACATGAACCCCCTAATAACTTTTAAAAATGGAGCTGTACAGAAAAAAGAGGACTTGAGCACAAACCAGTCTGACAGTAACTACATGTCAACATCACAACCAGGGGGGAGAAACATTTATATTCTGGGTCATTCATTTATCACATCGTTCTACCGTCGGTCTCCTGAAACCTGAACCCCCCCCCCCCAGCTCAGAGTCTAACCTTCTGTGTGGAACTAGAACTAGTCTTCAGTCGGGGTCTGGAAGGATTCTAACATCAGAGTCTGTGATGACGCCCTGCAGACACATGGTGGTGCTAGAGGACCAATGTTTGAAGCAGGAACTCGACACAGACCCTGATCTACTCTCCGGTTTGAACATCTATACAGTCAAAATTACAAACCAGGATGTTTGGAAAACATCATGAATCTGTTGAACAACACTAAAGGAATTATGGGAAAAAACTTCAGAGGGGGGGGCTGGACCTCTGGACATGGACCTCTATACTGGTCCTTCCAGGCAGACGCTCAGGACCTGTTTTCAGCCAGGACCTGAAGAGGACCTGGACCTGCTGAACTCTCAGGAAGGACAAGAGAAGAAGAAGAAGAACAGAGGAACCTTGAGCGATCTCCAGCTGCCTGCGGGCGTCTCCCAGAGCCGAGAACAGGTCCAGCTTGATGCGGGTCTCAGCGCTCAGGTTGAACTCCAGATGTTGAGCTTTCTCCTGCATGGCCGACAGAGTGGACAGCAGCAGGTCCGTCTCCTTCTCCACACAGCGGTACCGACCCAAAGCCTGGGTCCAGGTGAGACAGGGACACAAGAATCACAGGTCTGAAATACTGAGACACAGACGGTTCTAGAACTTTAGAAAGACATTAGAGGGACCAAAGCACCAGACAGAACCACACAGAACCACTTAGAGTCCACTCACAACCACACAGAACCACACAGAGTCCACTCAAAATCACACAGAGTCCACTCAGAGTCCACTCAGAACCACACAGGGTCCACTCAAAACCACTCAGAGTCCACTCACAACCACACAGAACCACTCAGAACCACACAGAGTCCACTCAGAACCACACAGAGTCCACTCACAACCACACAGAACCACACAGAGTCTACTCAGAACCACACAGGGTCCACTCAAAACCACTCAGAGTCCACTCACAACCACACAGAACCACACAGAGTCCACTCAGAACCACACAGAGTCCACTCAAAACCACACAGAGTCCACTCAGAGTCCACTCAGAACCACTCAGAACCACACAGAGTCCACTCAAAATCACACAGAGTCCACTCAGAACCACACAGAACCACTCAGAGTCCACTCAGAACCACTCAGAACCACTCAGAGTCCACTCAGAACCACACAGAACCACACAGAGTCCACTCAGAACCACACAGGGTCCACTCAGAACCACTCAGAACCACTCAGAACCACACAGGGTCCACTCAGAACCACTCAGAACCACTCAGAACCACACAGAGTCCACTCAGAGTCCATTCAGAACCACTCAGAACCACTCAGAACCACTCAGAACCACTCAGAACCACTCAGAACCACTCAGAACCACTCAGAACCACTCAGAACCACTCAGAACCACTCAGAACCACTCAGAACCACACAGAGTCCACTCAGAGTCCACTCAGAACCACACGGGACCACTCAGAACCACACAGAGTCCACTCAGAACCACACAGAGTCCACTCACCATGACAGAACCACAGAGAGAGATGAAGCTGTCTGTCTGAGCAGCCATGCTTCATCAGGAACAGACCACCACCATGCAGCACCAACACCAGAACCAGTGAGCAGGGGGTGTCTGCAGAGCCGGAGAGCCCAGCAGAACCACGACCCTCTCGCTGTCCTCCTCTCCTTATTCCTCGGCGATGATTTCGTCTGCAGAGCCGATGAATCTGATATTTTCGGTGTTTTTCTCGTATTTTTTCGTGTGTGATCTCATGAACGTTATTAGTCATCTCACTTCTGTCTCATTCACTACAACGCTAAGAGCCGACAGGTCAAATCGTACATTTACGACTTCTGACAAGCTAATATTAGCATCAGTCGGACCGAGATTCGATGTTCATTTCAGACTATCGGGACAAATGGAAAATGTTTTAAACGGAGCCGAACATCGACATTTATTTCTAATTCAACACAGGAGCAGCGGTTCTCCTCTGAGCTCCTCCCGAGTGTCCGAGCTCCTTACCCTATCTCTAAGGCTGAGCCCGGACACCCTGAGGAGGAAACCCATTTCAGCCGCTTGTATCTGCGATCTTGTTCTTTCGGTCATTACCCAAAGTTCATGACCATAGGTGAGGATCGGCACGTAGATCGACCGGTAAATCCAGAGTCTCTCCTTACGGCTCAGCTCTTTCTTCACCACCACTGATCGGTTAAACGTCCGCATCACTGCTGACGCCGCTCTGATCCGCCTGTCGAGGTCAACAGTTTTATTACTGACTGAAAAATGATGTGAGTCACGTTTAAAACTCCATCATGACGTCGCTCCATTCAGGCCGAGAACTTTGGAGAAAGAAGCAGCGAGATGAGGCGGGCACGTGTTTCAGGGTGTGGATCTGCTGGGCTCTCCGGCTCTGCAGACATGAGCTATTGACACCATCAACACCATCAACATCAACACCATCAACACCATCAACATCAACACCATCAACACCATCAACATCAACAACACCAACAACACCAACAACACCATTAACACCAACACCATCAGCACCATCAACATCAACAACACCAACAACACCAACAACACCATCAACACCATCAACACCATCAACATCAACAACACCAACAACACCAACAACACCATCAACACCAACACCATCAACACCATCAACATCAACAACATCAACACCATCAACACCAACAACATCAACACCAACAACATCAACACCAACAACACCAACAACATCAACACCAACAACATCAACACCATCAACACCAACAACATCAACACCATCAACACCAACAACATCAACACCATCAACACCATCAACACCATCAACACCAACAACATCAACACCAACAACACCAACAACATCAACACCATCAACACCAACAACATCAACACCATCAACACCAACACCATCAACACCATCAACACCAACAACATCAACACCATCAACACCATCAACACCAACAACATCAACACCATCAACACCAACACCAACAACACCAACAACACCAACAACATCAACACCATCAACACCAACAACATCAACACCATCAACACCAACACCAACAACACCAACAACATCAACACCATCAACACCAACAACATCAACACCATCAACACCAACACCATCAACACCATCAACACCAACACCATCAACACCATCAACACCAACAACATCAACACCATCAACACCATCAACACCATCAACACCAACAGCAGCAGCAGCAGACGGGACAACAGAGAGCACACCAACCACTCAGAAATGGGATGGAGGATCAGCTGACTCTGCAGGGAGGTCCACACAGAGAGGAGATGATGATGATGATGATGGGACTGAGGAGGACCACAGATGGACCACAGATGGACCACAGTGCAGACTCACAGACGGGTCAAAAAGAGGAAAAGTCGATACCTCCACATCTCTCTCTAGATCTACCACACGACTCTCTTTGAGCTGAAAGTCCAGCTGCAGTTGTTTGTACTCTGTCTCTAGATCTTTGACTCTTTTCCTGAACATTTGGGTCTCAGAGTGTTCCTGCTGCCTGGTGTAGGAGAGACGGAGAGAGATCACAGGGTTCAGAGGGAGACGGAGGGAGAGACAGAGAGAGAGACAGAGAGAGAGAGGCCACAGTCCCGGGGGTCCGACGGCTCGGTTCCGTCTCATGTACCTGTTGTTGGTCAGGCTGCGTGCTGAGCTGGCTGCTTCCTCCTGAAGATCGGCCAACTGTTTCTCCAGAGAGAGTCTGGCCTCCGTCTCCGCTCGGGTCTTCTTCTCCAGCATGGCGCTGCTCTGTTTGTCCCTCTGCTTGGTTTTAGTCAAACACAGAATCCTGGACAGAGAAGAGTTAACGTCAAAAACACGAGTTTGAAAATCAGACTGAAGACGCTCAGCTGTGAGAAACTGGAGCGTGTTTGTCAGGAAAGAGGGCGGGGACTCAGTGAAGACGTTTGTGTCCTGGTGTTAAAGGTGGAGGAGACAGGAACCTGTTAAAGAAGAATCTTCTAATATCAGTCAATAGTTATTAGTTATTGATTATTTGGTAATATATCGATATCTCTGTGTTCTCTTATGTCTGTGTCGTCAACATTTGAACATTTTTGAGCGGTCCGCTCTTTCTGACTGTAAACAAAGCCGTTCTCCACCTCCTCTAACCTGATTGGTTGTGAGGCAGACGCTGCTCCCCCGTGTCGTTCAGGAGCCCAAACAAAGTTAGCGTGCTACAATATCGGACAGTAGAAACCAACCAGAAAGTTCGGAAAATTGTCTGAATCCTCCTTTGGCCACGACTGCCGACACAAGCAAGAAAACAAAGTAAATACCGGAGACTCTGGAGGAATAACGGGCGCTTAAAACGGAGGTAGACCGGACAAGAGCTAAAAAGCCGGGTCAACATAAACCATGGGGGACGCTTGGGGATCTTGGTGACCCTGTAACCTTTCTGCTGGACAGGTAAACCGCTTTAACAAAGTAAGACAAGTGTCTGTAACAGAAGTGTTTCTTGTCAAACGGACCTGCTGTAGCGTGTTGTAGCGCCATCGCTAAACTGTCCTCCCTCGGGTCCTGGACTATGTCACTTTATCCTCGTTGTAGAAGTACTGCAAACATTGTGTTTGCTGGTAGTCTGTTGGCATCTACAGTAGCACCAATGCTTTTGACTTTCACCTTGACTGGGCCCCATTTGTAATGATCTGAAGTATTGATCTGCATTATATCTGAATTTAACTGGAACGATACGAGCGAGCAGGAGCGTCTGCTTGTGGGCGGGGCTTAAGAGAGGGAGGGGAGGAGCTGAGGGGAAAACTGGTTGGAGGGGTAGAGTTTACATTCAAGGTTTCTCCTAAAAACTGGGACTAACTCAGATCCTGACTACACCACCTTTGAAGACAAAACATGGAGGAGTTTTTCAGGGAGAAGGTCTAACTTCAGGGACTCTGAGGGAACCGCTGAAGGACTCATGGATCTGGTTTTGTCCTGGTTCCATCAGAGACACAGATCTCCTCCATAAAAAAGGTTCCTGCACTTTAGTCTCATCCTGTTTCCACCCAGTAACACAGATTTAGGATCTGAATAAACCAGAAGAGGATCCTGTCTGACCCCCCTGAAACTCATGGTTGGACCTGCTCTTGGACCCGGACTCACTTGCTCTGCAGCAGCATGTTGGACTGTCTGAGCAGAGACAGCTGTGGTCTCAGACTCCTCTCACTGTTGGTCAGGTTACAGACGTGACTCCTCAGCTCCTGTTCGCTCTGCCTGCTGCTCTGCAGCTCAGCTCTCAGCCTCCTCAGCTCCTGCTCCAGCCTGGAAGAGAACAGGGTCGCAGGGTTAACCTGGGGGGCTGCTGGACCTGGGGGGGTGAACACGGGGGGTAAACCTGGGCCGTACTTGGTCATGTGTTCGGCGTGGTGGTTCTTGTCCGGCCCGGCCCTGTTGGGACTGACGGTCTTGGAGCCGGTTCTCTGTTTCTTCTCCGTCCTCCCTGCCGGAGGTGAAGGCGTGTTGGCGCTGCCTCTGCGGGTTTTTGGCGAGGAGCTTTTCGCTGTCGTACGCGTGGCTTTGCTTCCTTGCTCTTCTTGAGGTAGATTCTCTGAGGCCGTGGAGGACTCTGGTCCTCCTGCCCCGCTGGGATGAAGGTCTCTGGACTCACAGGCTCTGACTGGCGGGGGCCGCCGGTTTGACTCCGCTGACCTGGGCTCCTGCGGCCCCTTCTCCGTCGCTCTTTCCTCACTGCGGATCTGGAGGCAGTCCACGGTGTGTCCCTCGTCACGGGACGCAGCGGCAACGCCGTTCTGACACTGATACTGCGTGGACTCGGGTTTGGTCTTCCACTTTGAGCCTGAAGAAGAAAAAACGAGAGAGAGCGTTTGACCCTGAATCTGGATCAACTTTCAGCCCCGTGGTTCTTAACCGGTCTCACTCTTGACCCACATTCTCCCATGATCCTTCAGTCGTGACCCACTTTTCTAAAATTCAAAAACTTTGATTCTTTAAAAAAAAACTTTAAAGTCTGAAATCTTCGACATAAATTCACCGTTTTTATGGAGTAAAGTTTCAGAGAAGATGATCTGAGGACGACGACGACTGAAGTTACAGAAAATATCAAATCATCAAAAATAAGGACGAAAAAAAACAGATTTTACTGCATCAGGCCACAGAGGACCAGGACATAACACACACCTTTCAAAATAAGATACTCTTCAAAATAAAAGACATGTCAAACATCAAATATTTACGTTTTTGACCACCTGTTCGGACCCATCCAGAACACGTCCGCGACCCACTTTTGGGTCGGGACCCGCCGGTTGAGAACCACTGATTTAGCCGACACGTTCTCCTCCACACAGGAAGTTCTCCAGGTCAGAGGAGGTTCATGAACCTCCTCTGACCTCATGGTGTGGAGGAGACAGAAGTGATCAGACCTGCTGCCTTCTAAGAGGAGCACCGCCTCCTTACAGACCACCTGACCGACACCTCAGATCAGAGACATCCTGAGGGGGACAAAGACATGCAGGAGACTCACTGCTGCTCCCGTCTGTGCCGGTCTTGGGGTAGACCTGCGAGCCTGGAGGCAGCGAGTGCTGCAGGAGGTGCATGTGGAAGTCGTTCTCACTCTGCACCGCTTTCTGGACTCGCAGCTTGAAGATGTTGGTGAAATAGCAGGTGGCATAAAACCCGAGGTAGACGACAGGATATCCAATACTGTGAAAGAAGAGCGAGCGCCACGTTAACCACACACAAAGGTCATCTTCTGTTCTGTAGAAGAAGAGCTCCGAACCATCAGAGATCAGCTCCATCACTCTTCAGACCTAAAAGACTCGAGGGAGCGTCCACGTACCAGTGTGCAGCGAACAGATGAGAGAGGTTAGCATGAGAGGATTTCAGATCTTTGAGTCGAAGCGAAGCCTCGGTGTACACCAGAAGGATCCACAGGGACGCCGTGGAGATACAGATGCCTTTCTCTGCAGAAACATCAGAACAGAATGAACACGAGTGAAATGAAAGACAAGCAGGAAGTACCATCACGGCTTCACCACCTTCACACTCACCTGTGTGCCAGATGTAGTTAAACAACACGTATGTGCTCGCCACGAAGAAGAGCCAATGCAGAGGAACAAAAATTAAACAGAAGATGTCCAGAGTGAAGGCGGCGCACACAAAGACGACACAAATGACCTGCAAAGACAGAAAACAGCCGTTTGAGAGGAACCATCGTCATCATCGTCATCATCATCGTCATCGTCGTCAGGAGAAATGAAACCCGGAGTAGAAGCTCTCACCAGTCCGTGGCAGTGGAAGGTGGTGTAAACGCTGCTGAAGAAGAGCCAGCAGGGCCACAGGTACTCCAGTCTGAACTCCAGGAGGAAATCTGCCAGCAGCACCAGAGTCCACATCATCATGAACTTCAGGACGGTGTAGGCACTGCAACACAACACAGACCAGCAGGATTATTACCCACAATACACCAGGGGAAGGTCAGCGGGGAGACAAGGGACACATGTTTGTCTTCTTATCTGTGACTCTGTTAGAGAGCCTCCAGCTGAAGTCTTAAAGGGATATTCTGCTGTAAATTAATGTAGGGTCAAACCCACCGTAACCCCGAGTTAGACCCCGCCCCCTCCAGAGATGAATGTTGTCGACCGCTTCCTTCTCTAGTTATACCAACTTTAGTAACGACCGCAGGATAGAAATACAGAGAGCCACGCCCCCAACCAAAACGCCACTCTATAGCCACAAATAATGCTCAGAACAGCACCTAACTTCATCAACAGGACATATAGGGTCACAGACATAGTACTAGACACCAAACATCTTTTTAACTTTGACTCATTTCTTTAGCAAAGAGACTAAACACAACTCACCTACTCTCTTCCAGCAGACGCTTGTTTGTAGAGAGACCTCAGGCCAGTCCATTACAGACTACAGCGGGGTGCCGCAGCTCAAGGAAGAACATTTACGATCATTTCTTTATCATTTTCTTGAAGTAATAATCACCATATTAATTAGGGATGCACCGATCCGATATTTGGATCAGATATTGGTTCCAATATTGACAAATTAACTGGATCTGATATCAGATGGTGGCACCGATAAAGTTCCGATCCAGTCTTTTTTTCTTTTAATTAAATATTTCTTTTGATACGTGGAATTCTTACTTCTTACTTCTTTATGCTCATGTGCAATTTATAATTTGTCAATAAATAAAAAGTTAATTTATATCTGTGTTCATGTGTTCATTTGTTTTTGTTTAACAAGGCTAATGTCAGGCCTGACGCCCTCACTCACAGGGCGAGGTATACAGTTCATTCATTCAACAGTAGAATTGGATCGGTACCAGATATCGGCCGACATGCTCAGCCCAGGTATCTTTAATATTGATCATTTTACAGACGCGGTAGTTCTTCTCTTCTTAGCGTCTCGGTCTGATTGTATTTCCATGAAGAAATGATCAGAAATGTTCTTCCTTGAGCTGCGGCACCCCGCTGTAGTCCATAATGGACTGGCCTGAGGTCTCTCTATAGAGTGGCGTTTTGGTTGAGGTTTGTTTATGGCTCCTCAGACCTCTCTGTATTTCTATCCTGCGGTCGTTACTAAAGTTGGTATAACTAGAGAAGAAAGCGGTCGACAACATTCATCTCTGGAGGGGGGGGTCTGACTCAGTGTTACGGTGGGTTCGACCCTACATTAATTTTACGCAGAATATCCCTTTAAGAAGTGAAGACTGTAAATGGAGGTAAACCTGCGATCAGAACAACAGCAGCAGCTGCAGTCGTCCCCGCTCCGTAAACAGGCAGGGCTGTGGTGTGCTCCTTTGTTCTGCTCATCCATAGGCTGCTATCACATCAGCCCCTCTTTGTTTGGTAACCATGGTGATATTTCATCTGGGTGGGGGGGGGGGGGCAGCATTCAGCAGCACATGTTTCTGTTCCCGTTTTAATCCAGTTTCAGACACAATATTGAGAATAAATGTCGAGTTTTGTTTTTTTTAGATCAACCAGAACAGAAACCAGAGCTGAAGAACCCTGAAGGACCCTCACAGCCATGGTTCATGTGTTTGTTATGAACCAAACCGAACCCTCTTATTTGGAGATTTCACCACAATAGGAGTCCCTGAGTTTAGTCAGGATGATCATGTGATGATAGTGAAATATTTCCGTGTATTTCTCCTTCACTCTCTCTGGTCTGGACTCAGATATTTTCAAAAGCTCCTCTGACTCTCAGACGAATATCATGTTGGTGTGTGTTCATGAATGTCTGACATGTTGGTGTGTGTGTTTCATGAAAAAGGGAACATGGTGTGATGATGAACGGGGAGGGGGGGGAAACAGCCGGAGAACTCACAGCAGGCCCACATTCACTGATTCTGCTCCGTCTGTAAACACTCCTGGTACCGGGCCTGTTCCTGCGCCACCCCGGGGTCCAGGAGACGGGGATGGAGTAAACATGCAGACACACACACGGACACACACGGACACACACGGACACAGGTGAGCAGGATGACGGCGGCTGTATCTCACACAAAGACGAGCAGCAGCAGCAGCAGCTCGGCCAGCCCGTCTGTTACCTTTCAGACAGCCTCTCCGTTAATCGGACTTTTTTCATCTTCCGGAGTCTGTTCGCGTCCACATATCGGTGTTTCTTCATCTTCTTCTCCCTCCGGCCTGCTGCTGGTGGTCCAACACCGCAGTGTCAGTCAGAAGGGAAAACAGACCGAGAATGAAGAGCAGCTCCTCTGTGTTCACGAGGATGTTCACTGTAACCTGTGAGGATGAGGAGGATGGGGAGGAGGAGGAGGATGTCTGGGAACAAATACAGGCGACAGCCGTCTGCGCATGCGCACCACACCGAACTACAAGCGCTGAGTGCAGGAGGGAGAGTGGACCTGAAGAGTGAGGAGAACAACATTTACACAACATGATTTAAAGAAGAACATCATCTCACACACACTACACACACTACACACGTGTTCGTTTAATTCCATATTTATAAGTTTGTTCCTTTTATTCCATATTTTTGATTTGTTTGATTATATATATTTTTGTTTTTTTATTCCATATTTATAAGTTTGTTCCTTTTATTCCAAATTTTTTAGTTTGTTTGATTTATTACATATTTTTGATTTTGTTTGTTTATACATATTTTAGTTTTTTTATTCCATATTTGTGAGTTTGTTTGTTTTATTCCATATTTTTGATTTTTTATTCCATATTTTTGAGTTTTTCTTTTGTTTTATTCCATTTTTGTAAGTTTGTTTTATTCCGTGTTGATGAAGTCGGTTTATTCGATATTTTTGAGTTTGTTTGTTTATTTATATTTTTGTTTTTTTTATTCCATATTCGTAGTTTGTTTGTTTTATTCCATATTTTTGATTTTGTTTGTTTATACATATTTTTGTTTTTTTATTCCATATTTTTGATTTTGTTTGTTTAGATATATTTTTGTTTTTTTATTCCATATTTTTGAGTTTTTCTTTTGTTTTATTCCATTTTTGTAAGTTTGTTTTATTCCATGTTGATGAAGTCGTTTTATTCCATATTTGTGAGTTTGTTTGTTTATTTATATTTTTGTTTTATTTATATTTTTGTTTTTGTTTGTTTTATTCCATATTCGTAGTTTGTTTGTTTATTTATATTTTTGTTTTTGTTTGTTTTATTCCATATTTGAATTCGGCGTTATGAGCTTAATCATGTAGATTTAGAGGACAGTGTACATATTTAGTCTGACTGTTTACTCTCTTGGCTCTGACATCATTTTAATCAACAGATTTTCTTGATGAATTTTATTCTCCTTTTTTTTCTTTTCTGTACATCATCCAGTTAACAGTCATATTTTCAGGAGGACGGCCTCTCAGATGTCTAAGAACGTTTTTTATGAGTGTGGCTGAGGGACTGTGCTGACACAGTGACGGTAGTTGTTCCGTGACGGTTGTGAAACAGACACTGGAGTAGTTAATGGTTCCTTAAGGATGTGTGAGTTGACAGAGAATATTTGCCAAAGTGATCCATCAGCCTGACGGGTGAGGTTGTCCAGCACAGCTCTGGGGCCACAGGCTATTGTTAAACCCGCTGGATCTGCTAATTTTTGAGATTGTTTTTCAATGTAATTACACAAAGAAAGACACATGAAAATGAAGACAACAAAGCTGAACAAATGTAGAGTACACAGTACTGTGTACACAAGTATTAGAAAGGATAGGTGTATCCACAAATATAACCTACTTTGTGTATTTATAAAGCACTTGTGACACACAAGAGAAAATGTCATTATTCAAGTCAAGTGATTATTTAATTAATAAGCTACGCAAATAGTTTCAGAAAAATCAAACTGCTATGGAAAGTCTTTCAATCTTTTCTGGATGTCCTGGTAACGTGTGGAGAGATTCACGTCTGGGTCAGCTCCGGTGATATTCAGCGTCTCATCGTCACCGCTTCATCATAGACCGCTGCTGTTACTGTTACCGTACGTCAACATGAAATGAACAAACAAATAAATAAATCATCTGCACCCTTTATTACCACTTTAGGTCAATAGACACTCCGTCGGTGGATCAGCTGTCAGCCAATCAGGTTTGGTAAGTTAAAAACACTCTTCAGAGTACAAGATTCAGATCTCTGTTTTAATAAATCCAGTTTCATTGTCAGCCAGTCCACGAGGAGGAGGCGGAGCTTCAGACAGGGTGGAAGAGGGGGTCGTCTCGGTGTGGCCTTGAACGGTTCATGAAGTCAGTCAGCACCTCCAGGACAGATCTGTCATGTTACAGCCGTTCATCGCTGTCATGGAGTCAGGGATGGCTGCAAGCCCAGCCACACACCCCTCTGAGTCAACACCATATTTTACAATCTGATGTGTGCTTTGCTATCATGATGGCACTGCAAAGGTCAACTCTGCAAGATCTAAGGACTCCTACTGTGTACACAGAGGCCGGGCACTAAGACGCCAGAAAGATCTGAATAAGCTCTGAAACCCTCAGCCTCCCTCGGAGAATCAACGACACAAACAAACACCCAGGGTCTCTGATCAAAGTGGAGGGTCTGGAGGTCCGATAGGCTCTGGTACCGGTCCATTTTTAGGTGTAATTGTGAAAAGGCCTCCTCACGCTTCAGGTCAGTGTGGAGCTCCTGAGTGTGTTCTCTCAGTTCTTCCTCTCTATAGGACGAGGCTTTCTGAGTATGTTTTAAGTTTCTACTTTAAAATGTTGAATTTCTTTTTCCAGGTTCCCCTTTCACCAGGTGTTTTCAGTGAGGGCGGGGCCAGGGTGAGCTTTAACGAGAGCAGCAGGTGTGTGTGTGGGGCTGGGCTCACTTCATGGACACTGAGAGGACATATTACATAAAAGTCACGGTGCAAACAGGTCGAGTTCAGGGAGAAATCAAGACAGAAATGTCGGAGACACGAGCGACGGAGAGTTTAGAGTCAAAATAAATGAAGTCCTCCAGTCTGAGAAAAACCTGTCACTGATGAGTTCATGAGAAACTCAGGGCTCTCAAGTCTCACGCATTCAGCGTATGACACACCCATTCCCACTCGTTCACACGCTCACACGCCACACATTGTATTTCTCACACATTTAAATGAACATGGTGATGTCCACCAAGTTGCACTTCTTCAACTATGGAACAGGGGGAAATCAACTGAGTTCCTCTGAGAGTTCAGAAGCTGCGTGCCACGCACAAGCCAATCAAATAAAGTATATCTACTGAACAGCCAATCAAAAAGCAGCATTGCTGTATCTGGGTAGATTTTGATATCTTGTGGTTTGACTACAGAAGAAGACAGACACTTGCCGAAATAGAGCAGGTTTTTATAAGGACGAGAAAGACCCGATGATTACAGTAAGTCAGTAACCTACACATGCAGAGACCTCAACACCTCATGGCAGATAAACTCATATGATAAACTAAAGCCCAGCTGTATTGATGAATTTAGCCTCTGTACAGCCATTTCCCCTCCACAAAAGCAGCATTTCTCATATATTCTTTTTAAAGTTCTGATACTCATGACAGTGTAACGCTCATGTACCAAAGGATTAAGTATCTCCATGTCTGTGAAACCTATACTAAAGTACAATCCATCTAAATGCTCCTCAGTGCTGATTTTAACAACTCTCCTCCACAACAGGTAACTTTACTACTTTATTCTTAAAGTCATTAATGACTTTATTCTCCTAAATAATAACTTTAATCTCAAAGATTTAAAAATGTTTTTTTCTTTCTTAATGTGGCCCTCATACTCCGTTGTATTTATTAGATTATTATACTAATAATTATCTTCAATCACTCTTCGACCCCCCCCCCCCCCCTCACTCCAAGCTTAGTTCAAAACTTGAGAGCCCTGGAAACTCAATCCTTTTCCCCGTTAGGTGCTGTCAGGGCCATCAGACCGTGGTCTCAGGTCATGGAAACCTGCCCAAGAGTCTGGATTGACACAGAACCGGGCCTCCAGTCTTCTCTTAAAACAGGGTCTTGGTCTTTAGGACCCTTGTATGAACACAGTCATGATGCTTTAATAGTGTAAAAGAATCACCACCATAAAGAGGAACGCTTCAGATCAGGTCTAACAGTCCATCAGGGTTCAGTTTGTGGAGAAGATTCTAAGGAAGCCGGTCCAGCTGCTCTGTAGTATTGGGCTCTCCGGATTGGGGGTCCGTTTTTGCCGAGCCGCACCGTAAAGTCACTTTGATGACCTCAGACCTCAGACTGAACTTTTTGATTGATCTCATCGTTTAATGATGTTTAATGACCGATACTGAAGGCCCGACAACCCTGATCAGAGTCAGAACCTCTACACCGCCTTCTTCTCCGGGTCTTACACCCAACAGAACTTTTTTAGGCCCACCGCATGACAGCAAAGTCTAAAACCCACAGGATGCGTGTCGAGCACGCTCCTTCAGTGTCGTATGTTACAGATACGTTCCTATTCTAATCCATGCAGCATCACACACCTGAAGCACGTGGCAGCGTGTCGCCCAGAACACGCCCAGAACACGCCCAGAACACGCCCAGAACACGTCAATCTGCACAGAGAAGATTGTCGTAGACAGGATGACACGCAGGTCATCCTGTTATTTCCAGAATAAAACATGATCCCAGCTGTGTGTCAGATCCACAGACTGTTTTTACTCTGGACAGCGTGGTTCCTCCTTCCTCCTGTAAACTCAAACCATCATCGCGCAGCAGCGTTGTACGTATTCGGCGGGAGAGTCGCTGTGATGGCGCTCGGCTCAAACTACATGTCAACATCACAACCAGGGGGGAGAAACGTTTATATTCTGTGTCATTCATTTATAAAGTTTGTCCACAGCTCCATAAGGAGGCGGGGTTTAGGACCTATACTGCAGCCCGTCACCAGAGGGCGCTGTTCTCAGAGAGAGGAGGAGGAGGCAGACGGCGTCTGTTCTAGATACAGTCTCTGGTCAGAACGTGTAGATAAGAAATTCTTCCAGGTTCTGGATTTATCAGTTTGTTTCAGTTTATTGATACTAAAGCAGCTCTGGTCCAGCCGACCAGGGCTGTGCTACGCTGCTACACTGCGCCGCTGCTGCTGCGCCGCTGCTGCTGCCGCTGCTGCGCCGCTCCGAACATGCGCGCTGTCTGAGCAGCCAGACTGAGGCGACGACAGACACACATCCTGGGGGTTTTTGGCTTTAGTGGCACCTGTAGTCTTAATCTATTAAGCCTTTAAGACTCTGAGCTCACAAACAAACAGACCTGAAGTGAGGTCCCTGAGGAGAGTCTAATCTCCAGGATATTTACAGTGTGTGGCACAATGAGGCTCTCACTCAGATCATGATGATGATGAATGGATGAACTGAACACATACACTGCTTTATAGACTCATTTTCTATGATGATGAATACTGAGTTTGACTCCAGGTATGACTGAAACTCAACATGAACATATGAAGTCCAACCGTCTGGATCCATATGGGGACGACCGGGGCAGACCCAGAGGGTTGGTTCAGTGAACAAGGGAGCAGGACAGGTGTCCTGGACTAATCTAGGAGGGACAATGTCAATACCCCACATCTCTCCACACATCATCAGGGATCAACCGGGTGCTGACAGACAAGCTCGACCATGTTTGGTCAGTCCTTGAGAACAAAGGAAGCCTTTGGACTTTATTCAAATGCTGTTAGTTTTTGTTCTCACCTATCTGAGTGTCCCAGGTTATAAAAACCACACCTGCTGTGACTCTCAGAGATAAACAGTCCTGGACTTCACCATGACTCCATACTCGGTGACCCTCCTTTGTGCCTTCAGCCTCTTTGCTGCCGTTCAGGTGCCCGGCACCTCAGCTCTCTGGCTTGTAAGTAAATCTAAATCCTCCATAAATAAGGATTCATGTTTGCTGAAAATAACTGTTTGTATTTTTTCAAAACTATCATCATTTTAAATGTTGTGTTTTTTAAATCCACCAAATTATCTCTCTACTCTCTGAACGCCCACCTGATGAAGGGTAAGTGATTATTATTATTGTTATTATTATGAATATTATCATGATGATTTAGATTGTAACTATTATTATTATTATTATTATTATTACATATGTATATGTTTTTATTATTATTATTATTTTTATTTTTATTATTATTATTATTATTTTTTTTATTATTATTATTAGGACCATCTGTCACTCTCTTCTGTCAAGCGTCACTAAAAGGCTTTTGTTTGGTTTCCTCTGTCAGACTTGGACCTTCCCTCAAACAGGAACGTGCGTAACAAAGGTGAGTGATTTGAATCATTTCTAAACAAAATGAAGTCCATCTGCGTTCACTTATTTTGGTTTTGTCTGTTTGTGGAGGATCCAATGGGGTCTCTCCATCTGAGGAGGCGGTGATTTTGGAGAAGCACAATGACCTGAGGAGAAATGTGCAGCCCACTGCCAGCAACATGTTAGAAATGGTACCAAACTGATATTCATTCAAAACCCTCATTTTTCATCTACAATCATTATTTGGCAGTGAGGGTCTCCTGGAGACATTTTCTTCCAGTAGCTGGTTGTTGCTTTTAGTCACCTGTAACACCGTCTGCCTTGAACAGGCCTGGAGCAAAGAGGCTGCAGCTAATGCTCAGAGATGGGCGGAGACCTGCGCCATGGCACACAGCGCTGAGGGACAGAGAAGGATCAGCTGTAAGTTATTAAATCCTGAAATATATCTGAGTAACTGAGGCCGATGAGAATAGCCGTCTGAAATCAGTTCTTGTCTTCTTGTATGAAACTGATGGGACTTAAACATCATCTCATCTCCCTCCTGTGACCTGTAGCCAGCGGCTGTGGAGAGAATATCTATATGTCTGACCACAAAGACAGCTGGAGCCATGCCATCCAGGCCTGGTACAACGAATTCGATAACTGGCAGTACGGGTCAGGGTCCATCAACGGTAAACCTGTGGGACACTTTACACAGGTGATCTGATTCTTACATTCAACTCTCCAGGTCGCTCTGAGTTTCGCTCCATGAGCTCCTGGTGATGTGTTTCCTGTCTTGTTACCTGCACAGGTGGTTTGGTACCGGTCCAACCTGGTTGGCTGTGGTGTTGCCCACTGTCCTGAGGCCAGTTACCATTACTTCTATGTCTGCCAATACTGCCCACCGTGAGTGGAATACATTTCTCTCTTCTCTATTTCAGCTCATTCAGTCAGATCCTTCAAATATAAAATATAAAATATAAAATATGAAATATGAAATATAAAATATGAAATATAAAATATAAAATATATGAAATATAAAATATGAAATATAAAATATCCTCCTCATCCATGTTTGTGGATTCAGTCAGTGTTAACGGGCGAACGCATCAGCAGCACAACAATGTTCTGGAGTTCAGATGAATGTCATCTTCTGCCATTTGAATATCATCTCTCTGAAGGTCCTCACACACCGGGGCCGACGTTAATATAGATCGTGAAATTACGAAATATTTGGAGGCGAATTTTGACCTGCCTGACTAAACACGTCAAGCCCGGTGCGATTTTGTGACTTTCCAGGGGGAAAAAAGACGCGTCCCTGGGAAAGTCCCGCCTCCTTCGCTTCTGATTGGCTAGAAAAGCTGGAAACATCATCACACGCTCAAGCCAAACGGTCAGCCAATCAGAGGCGAAGGAGGGCGGGATCTTCCCCTACCATCCAACGGCGTTCAACAGTTCTGATCAGACTCTAGTGTTGAGATGTCTGTCAGGATAGCATGGACTGAGTCGGGTCAGAACCAGATAAACACATGTAACCATGGTAACAACCGTTAGCTTACGTTAGCACAGATGAAAGTTCAAACAAAGACGTTTATCAAACTGTTAAAGCTCACAAACCATTGTTATCGGAGAAATCCGACACTATGACTCTCCACAAGTCGTCCTTCAGGTCGTTCTCTTTGTAATGTTTGTGTTTTTTATCAAAAATCACTCTGTTCTCCGACACGGAAACAATCATCCGGTCGGCCATGTTGGATATACCGCTGAATCTGACGTCGCAACAACATGAAATCTGATTGGTCAGAAGTGGACACACAGTCTGAGAAACTTTAGAAAAGTCGACCGTGATCCGAAAAAATAAATGCTGCAATATCGCAGGACGGGAAAACGTCGCCGATGTGACGCTTGTGTTGACAGGAAACGGGTTCAAAAAAAATATTGACGTCTGAAATAATCGCAGGATAAAAAAAAAGGGTCCTGGTGTGGGAGGAGCTTAAATCTGTGAGTTTAGTGTAATTTGATTTCATATTTGAGTGGTTGGTCCTGTTTACAGTGGAAACTACCAGTTTACTCACCCCTACAAAAAAGGAGCCCACTGTGGTGCCTGCCCAGACTCCTGTGATAACCAACTGTGCAGTAAGTAGCTGTTCTGTAATATAATAAATCATGTAATAATGTAATATAAGAATATCAGTAATCCCACAGATGTCCACAGACACAGAACAAGGAGGAGCTGTGAGATGAGAACTGTTTCCTTCAATCCTTGTGTCCTTCCTCCCTCTCTCCTAGCTAACCCGTGCCCGTACTCTGACAAATACGGAAACTGTCCCGGACTGGCCAAAAAGTGGGGCTGCAGCAACGGGAGCGTGGCAGCTTGGTGCCGCGCCTCCTGCGCGTGCAGCGACAAGATAAAATAAGATTTGAAGGCCTCCAGTCCACATGACCTCTGACCTATGAGTCAGTCCAAAAACAAACAACCATCATGTGAGACTGTGCCCCTCCCTCTGGATGAAATGAACCATTTCTGACCTTTAAGAAATACTTCCTCTCCCTTGTTGTTGGTACTTGTTCTTTTGAACCACTTTGGTGCGGCTTCTTTCCTCCCAGTATTCTAACAATTCATGTGGTGAACTAATGGTTGAAAACACTGTATTGTTGTTTACTTTGGAAGCACCAGATCTAAAAAAATGGAAATAAATCTTCCCCTTTAAAAACAAAATCTGTCAGACTTTCATTCCAGGAGCGGGACTTTTGGTGTGACCGACAGAAAAAAACAACAACAACAGCGACTGAAAAGAGACGACAAAAGATTTCTTTTCATTTAGTGCCGGTCTTTACAGACGACAGGTTTATATAAATATATAAACACAGAGACAGAGGTATGACTTGTCTACGTTCACTCTGCAGGTTCTGATGCACAATCCAGATTTTTTGTTCAATACGATCTTTTTGTGCGGTCGGTCACATCACAACAACAACAACGAATGTGTCCATGAAGTGACCCTCATGAACACAAAGAACAAATATCCCTCCGCTCCTGTTTGTGTCGTTGAACAATGGTGACGTTTGTCTCATATTGATGACGTAAAGGTCGGATGAACTCGACCTGAGCGTCACACTGCAGTCACATCAGATACATATCTGATTTATATCCACATACAGAAGAGGGTCGGATCAGAACCAATCAGAACTGACCTGTTCACACTTAGATGAAAACATCAGATATGAGTCACAGATGGTTAAAACATCAGACCTGCAGTCAAGGAGAGGGATAAGTGAAAACAGGAGAGAGCGACAGACAGACAGATGGTCAGTTTGTTCAGTCTGTTCCTGTCTGCAGTCGGGATGATGCTCCAGCAGACCACGAGAAGACAGCTGAGACCACCACAGAGTCAGAGAAGGTCCTCAGGGGTTCTCCCTGCCCCACAAAAGACCTCAGTCCCCCTTTAGGTGGAGTCTAGATCTGCTCTTCCCGTGGACTTAGCTGGTCCTGTTGGTCCAGTCCAGTTTATTGTTTAGTTGTCCACCCAGGTGAGATCTTTGCAGCAGGTAGATGGCAGCATCATCCACCCTGATCCCGGGCGATAGGTGAACTACAGGGGGTCCATTGATGAGCCCACCAGGGGGCGCAGATGACACAAGGACAGAGGGTACGACAGGCAGAGGTGTTCAGGTTGTCATCAGTGCAGCTGTTGAGGACTCGTGACCAGAGCTGGTTTTCAGGTCCTGAAGTTCTGTATGATAATAAACAACAATAATAATATTAGGATGAATGAGAAAACATTTCATTTGTCTGGGCTTTTCTAAACACTCAAAGTCACTTTACAGAGAAAAACACTTTATACATATATACTGTATATAAACATATATACTGTTTATATACAGTATATATATATATATGTATATATACAGTATATATATGTATATATACAGTATATATATGTATATATACTGTATATATGTATATATACTGTATATATATGTATATATACTGTATATATACTGTATATATATATACATATATACTGTTTATATACTGTATATATATGTATATAAATATATATATTATATATATATACACACATATATATATATATATATATATATATATATACTCTATATATGTATATATATATATATATATAGTTGTAGTAAAACAATCACAGTCTGTTGTTTTCAGGATATATGTATTATTATTACTGTAATAATGAGGTTTAATCAGACATCAGAGTTTTGAGTTGATTTATAATTGACGTTTGCTTGTGTAGCTCCTATTAGTTTATGTTTAATTCATGATCTTTGTTTTTTGTTTTAAAATATCTTTGCTCATTAAATTTAAAGTCAAAAAAGGATTTTTTTAAACTGGTTTCATGTCAAAGTTACATGCGGTTAGGACACAGTTTTAACTTTATCACAATAAACAGCTGAGGTAAGTTCTCCCTGCTCTCAATGATCAGAGCGACACTTTCTTCAACACAGCGAGGACGTTTCGAGGACACTACCTTCTAAAAGACTCTGTGAGGACAGATGAGAGACAAGTGTCTTATCGAGCGTTCGTGTAATGTTTTAATTATCAAACTTTTATTGATTGTGTTGGCAAATCTTCCCTCGTATCCCTGCCAAAAATGTAATGTGTACCATGTAAATAGAGCATACCACATCAAGGATGTTTTTACAAGTGCCACGTTGACAAAATGCTTTCTTGAGTTTGGTCGTTAAAAACGAGGATGCCCTTGAGTTTGTGTTTATTTGTCACGTGTTCCTGTAGTGCTGTCTATATAAATCAAACCTGCGGCCAAAGAAGACAATCTGGGATCAAACTATGTACACTTTTAGCCTCCTGTGTGCTCTGGGTCTCTTCGCTGCCATCCAGGTGCCTCGCACCTCGGCAGTGAGTGAAGTAAGTGTAAATCTTGCATCGGCTCTGCTATCATAAGATGATTGTGTGTATTTGTTGTTAGTCTAAGAGCTTTTTTCAGACGTGTGTATTTCTCTGCATTAAAACCATTTCCTCTGTTTCCTCTCTAACCACATCAAAACCTGGTAAGTCTCATCGCTGCTTTTCTCCAAAGATTCCCTGCAGACATTTTCTCTCAGACTTTGCAGCACATGTGATTTCTGATCTGCTGTCATTTCTTTTGTATTCAGGAATCACCCAGAGTGAAAAAAAGGAGATCGTAGAAAAGCATAAAGACCTGAGAAAACATGTCCAGCCTACTGCTCGAAACATGCTGAACATGGTAAGCACCGAAAACACACTGAACTCTCCTCATCCATTCATCATGAGAAGCAGGAACAGAGCCCTGGAGAGTTGAGGGTGTCTGCTGATGTCTGCTTACCTGTGATCTGCTCCCCACAGGAATGGAGCGACAAAGCTGCAGCCAACGCCAAGAAATGGGCAGATGAGTGTCAGGAGCAACACAGCACCCCACCCTTCAGAAATACCGGCAGTAAGTTCATTCAGCCGCTCGTTCACCTTCAAAAAACAAGCAGAGAGAAAGAACCGGCGTGTGACTCGACAAGTCAAACAAGTCTTTTATTCCTGGCAGAGCGTGATATCCTCTGCAGCAGGATCATGTGACACCAAACTCCAGCCGCAGCAGTGTCGTCGTGGTGACGACGTTTTAACACACTGTTCAATGTGAGAAGAATAGTTTTAGTGCAGCTGAATGTGTCATGACAGGAAGGCTCAGATTATAGCGCCGTTCAAAAGATGGTCCACCTGCAAAACTAGTGACTGTTATGTAAACTCAGCAAACACCACAGACGGACAAAAGGCTGAAGACGTGCTGCTGTCAGCAGGACGCCTGAGGGACGCCTGAGGGACGTCTGCCTGAGGGACGTCTGAGGGACGTCTGAGACTGATTAGAGCTTCAGTGATGGACTTGCTCAGAGTTAAGGCGAGCATGAATGGTGTGGGGGAACTGATGTGTCTGTGAACTCCTCTCTCTCTCTCTCTCTCTCTCTCTCTCTCTCGTGTAGACGGCATCCTCTGTGGAGAGAATCTGTTCATGTCCAGTCACCCCGTTAAATGGTCTACGTTGATCCAGTCCTGGTACAACGAGGTGAAACACTGGAAATTTGGCGTGGGAGCGATCGATGGCGCGATGATCGGACACTACCTTCAGGTGATGATGATGAAACGAGTCTTTGTGAAGAACATTTGATGGTTCTGAGGAGCTGCTTCTGAAATGATGGTTTTGTCTCTGTACACAGATCGTTACCTACAAGAGTAAGGAGGTCGGCTGCGCGTACGCCTACTGTCCCAATAACAAGTTGCCGCATTACTACGTCTGCCATTACTGCCCACAGTAAGAACGAAGCCGACCGTTCTCAGTGTCAAACTTACTGCTTCATGGACTTTTGAGGATCCTCATACTCTGGTCTCTGTTTCAGTGGAGATATCAACCCTGAGGAACCCTGGGAGCCTGGACAACCGTGTGGGGCCTGCAAGGACAGCTGTTCGGATGGACTCTGTGGTAAGTTTGATGAAGAGCAGCCGTAACGGTGAGAGATGATCTTTCCTGTTTTTATCTGTTTTTATGGGAGAGAGGAAGACGTTCAGGATTTAACCAAACGCTGTTCTCACTCAGGATCAGGACTGAGGTTTAGTCCCAAGTAGGGTTGGGTATCGTTTGATTTTGAACGATTCCGATTCCAATTTCGATTCCTCATTTCGATTCCGATTCCTATCGATTCTCTGATTCGATTCTTTTAAAAGGCAGGATATCAAAAAGAAAAAAGAAAAAAAAAGCATGGTTTGAATGAGGGCGCTAACCGGGGCTCTTCTTTTTGGATGAAATTTCTGAACTTCTCCATGAATTTTTAAATCCTATTAACTTTTTAAGAACTTTGCTGTGGATTTCTCACAGGGCTATTTTCAACCAGTATATAAATATCAATTTTTGTTGTCAGGTCGTTTGTCTATGAAAAAGTACAAGGGCTAACGTTAGGTGGATATTTAAGTTTACTCACCGTACACAGTTCAATTTCTTTACCGTTTCAAAGTTAGCAGAGGACAGAAGTAATTTATTGTTTCACTTATCCGATCCTGACTGGTTAGCGGAGGACAGGTGTTGTGCTGTAGAATGCACCCCTGCCGTAGAATGCCTCCCCTCCACTGATTAGCTTCTTAGTGGAAGAAATATGATCTCATATTTAATAAAACACGGGTATTAGATCATGAAAACGTGTCAAATGGAGCAGTAAACTTTCGTTTTGTTTTTATGTGTCTCAAAAATGCACACATAGAGGTGTACTTGGGTATATAAACTGTAGAGTAAGCTGTTAATGTAGAGAACATTATATTTTCCGGACAGTAAATATTCAGAGTCAGAGGGCTATTGTTTTCGGCATATCTGAATAGCCTGAATGAAATCATTAAAGGCACACGCTTTAGATTCCGTCCAACGGTAAGAAAAACTCGGATTGTTTCGCCTTGTTGTGTACTTTCAACCGCGCTCCCTTCAGGGGGGCATTCAAAAGCAGGGGTGCATTCTCTGGCACAACACCGGCGAAGCGCGTCAAAGACGAGCACTCGGGTATTTCTCCTCCATGAATCCTGAGGTGTTTAATCATGTTGGTCGTTTACCCTCCTTTGCATGATATAACTGTATTGCTAATGTTGCATTGAGATAAGAGCTCATTCTTCCTGCTAAAGTTAGCCAAACTTTTGACCAACGAAGAAGAAGCTGCCGAACAACAATGAGGACGGAGCGTATGAGACGAAGTCACACAGAGAGAGGAGAGAGACAGAGAGAGATTGTAACCCACAGCGGCTGCATTGCTGTGGGTTACAATGTACTTTCTCTCTCTCTGTCTCTCTCCTCTCTCTGTGTGACTTCGTCTCATACGCTCCGTCCTCATTGGTGTTAAGCGGCTTCTTCTTCGTTGATTTTCGGCGGCTATTTCTTCCGGTCGGCGGACTCCGGCATCGAAACTTGGAATCGAAATTTTAATATTTGAACGATACCGGAAGAATCGAAGTTTTAGTCCCGATTCCCATCGATTCTCGATTCCCAACCCTAGTCCCAAGTCCCACCAAACAGACAAAACTTTAAATGTGGGAAACAGAAGAAGTACAGATCTGTACCAACAGCAGGGGGCGCCCTGATGTCCACCATGATCGAAATCATCTGTTTTTTAGTCCCTCATTTCTGAGCCGGTCTGTCCTGGATAGAGTTAAGGCACCTGGGTCACGGTGACTCTCAGAGACCCCAAAGCCCCCGTGGGGTGAATAAAGTGTTCTGATCCGGGTTCTGATCCTGAGCTCTCACGGTTCTGTGAATTTGTCTGGAGGGTTTGTCTCGTTGTCTTGTTCCAGAGTTGTTTTAATTCTCCCTTGTTCATCTCCTCATCTCTTCCAGATAACGGCTGTAAGGTTTATGACTTGTTCAGGAACTGTGAACATTTCAAATGGGCCTGCCCGTTTTTCGCCATATTCCGTGACGAATACTGCCCTGCGACCTGCCAGTGCGATGGCAAGGTGAAATAAACCCTGAAGGTCCAAACGGGCTCTTCTTCCTTCTTCTCCTACTTTCAATAAACTTCAGCATCATGAAAACTTTGTGTCTCGTTCTTTCACTGCTGCCACTGAGAATAAAGAGGAAACAGACTTTCTGTGAGGTGAACTCGAGCAAAGAGGAAGGACAGGGTGGGTGTGGCTTCAGGCTTCCCAAAGCAGAGCGGAGGAGGGACCAAACCCAGGTCCTGTCGGGGCTGAGGGGTTCTGGTCGGGACCAGAAACACAACATGAGAAACCAGCCTGACTTATTTCATGTACATGTGTGTGATGATAGATGTTTGATAGAAACCCTTTTATCTGGTGATGATGATGATGATGATGATGATGGTGATGATGATGATGATGGCGAGGTTCAGACTGGTCCTCTTCCTGTCCAATCAAGACCAAATCTACAGGAAGCTGAAAAGGTTATTTCCTGTTACATCAGGCGTCATCTTGACCTGAAAAAACCTCTTCAGAGGAGACGGAGTGAAGGGCTCCTCTCTTCAGGTGTTTTAGCCAGGGGGCGGGGCCTACGCTTCACACCTGACCAGGTGCATCAGAAGCTCCAATGAGCAGTGGTCCTGACTGAACTGATCCAAACCAGAGGTCATCGTCCAGCAGCTCAGCGGGCTCCTGGTTCTGATGAGGACGTGTTTGGATGAGCGCCAGGCCAGGGAGAAACACCAGGCCAATAGGAACGGTCACTTAGGGCCACAACCAATAAGGGGGGCCACATTACCCCCCAAAGGAAGACAAAAATAACTCGCTAGTTCTAATCCATACATGGGCAACTGGCAGCCCAGGGAGCTTGTAGATCAGCTATTTTTGCGACTTTTGTGTGGACTGGACCGACAGTCTATGTAATGTGGCCCCCCTCTGCATCATCACAGTTGTCCACCACTTGTCTAGACGATCTAGAAGCTCACGATATCCCACCGCAAAGTCATTGTCTGTTTAAAATGCAACAAGATGGAGGGCCACAACCAAAACCAGGGGCCCCGTCATCACATCCCGGGATGCACTGGGAGTGTTTTGGGGGCCACCAAACAACATCTTGCTTAGGGCCACCAAAATCCACCAGCCGGCCCTGCGCCAGGCGCTGGTGGACCGGCCGACTCAGTGGACTTGCGGTGAGCTGCTGGATGTCGAACACTTGACCACACACACGGCCATTTTGTGTGAATTCACAGCTTTACGTACACAAACAAAAAATAAACACGGGGCTGAATGAACCCGAACCCGGCTCCTCAGAACCTCCAGGAGGTCTCAGCCTCCGTCACTGAAATCCTGGTGAGGGTCATGAAGCCCAGGCTGTACAGTGACATGATACAGTGACGGACTGTCCCTTTAAAAACGGACTGTCCCTTTAAAAACGGACTATCCCTTTAAAAATGGACTGTCCCTTTAAAAACGGACTGTCCCTTTAAAAACGGACTATCCCTTTAAAAATGGACTGTCCCTTTAAAAACGGACTGTCCCTTTAAAATAATTCATTTGAATTATAAAAAAAGTCATTGAGCAGAAATTAAATGTATTTATTTATTTATTATTTATTTATTGAGACAGGACAGCACCAGTTCATGGACAAGGAGAAGAAGACATGATACAAGAAGTCTGTTCTCATTGTAAACCAGCCGGAGTTAGCTAAGGCTAATTTTCATCCACTGTCCTCAAACAGAAAAGCAACAAAAAACAAAACAAAACAAACAAACAAACAACAAAAAAATATAAAATAAACAAACAAACAACAAAAAAATATAAAACAAACAAACAAACAACAAAAAAATATAAAACAAACAAACAAACAACAAAAAAATATAAAATAAAAAAACAGACAATACAGTAGCAGACGACAAACATGAAAGCTTATGATGCTTTATTTAAATCGATTATGTGTGTGTGTGTGTGTGTGTGTGTGTGTGTGTGTGTGTGTGTGTGGGGAACGACATTCACAACTAACCAATCAGTGCGCCTCGTGCGCCCCAGGTGATCAACCTCGTAGGTTACGTCGGGTCATCACTTCCTGTTGGACGGTCACGTTGTCATCAATGAGGTAAATAATGAAAATAAAGTTTTAAACGGAGTTAAAAACAAACGAATTGATCTTTTTCTCCATGATGGGAAACACTGTTCAAACCTGAGAGGGTGAGACCGGATAATCTCTGCCCGCCGGGTCAGGGTAATTGCTGGAGCGCTCGTCCCTAAACTGATGAAACAAAAAGACTCTTGAACCTGTTTGTTTTACTTTAATCTGGTTTTCCTGTTCGGTTGATGGTAAAGCAGCTGGTGTTCATGCTGCTGTCTGAGACTGTGATGTGATAGTTTATCATTACCATCCCAGCTGTTCATTGTTATTTACTCAGCAGTGGGTTAATACATATTTTAATATGTTAATTAATCTGATACTGGTGAGACTTTTCTGTGTTAGTGTTCAGTTTAGTTTCTCATTCTTGTCAGCTCCAGTTTTTGTGGGTTTCTCTGAATTTGATGCCGTTTTCTACCAAGTTAAAAGGTATCATGCATTATTTGTCTAATTTTTTAATATTGATATTTTCTTTGTTACTAACAGAACTAGAAATATTTCAGCTTTTGTAACCGTCATTAATGTAACTACAGTACTTGAATATAGTTTTAAAAAGCACTTTGAACGTGTTTATAGTTTCACAACCACAAATCAATACTGGAACTCTTTTTGTTGTATAACTAAACCATTGGAGAACATGATTTAAACCAGTGAAAGCCAATGAGTATTATTGATTGGTGATATTCAGCATGCTGTTTGGATCTGCTTTGACCCCTCTGTAGGTCAGGCTCCAGCTACGTCCCACCGGCCATCATGGAGGTTTCAGAGATCTAGAGATTCCTAGTGTGAGCGAGCCACATCCAAAGTCCTGATACTGACCTCTGACCGTGACGAAGGACTCCATCATTCCCCTTTCCTGTGTGGTAGGACAGAACAAACACGCACTGACACGGATCTGAAGAACCGAAAAAGGGCTCCAACACGAACTTTGGGACAGAGGGGGTTATTTTTCTGGCTTTATTGTTGTACTTTGTGATTTTTCATCGAATGTCTTGAAACAAACTGTTGTATTTTCATTGTGTTATTGGTTATAAATAACAAAACTCAAACCATTGTTGCCTGTGTCTTTTGATTACTCACAGGACTCGACAGTGCGACCGTTTCACTCGCACATCGAAAAAAACGTGTGTGAATTTTAAAATGTATTGAGGGTCACATGTGCTCATAAAAAATCAACAAGTGTTTTTTTTCCTGTAAATACGGCGGTGAAGTTAGTTTCAGGTTGGATATATTTTCCTGTAAATACGGCGGTGAAGTTAGTTTTAGGTTGGATATATTTTCCTGTAAATACGGCGGTGAAGTTAGTTTCAGGTTGGATATATTTGCCTGTAAATACGGCGGTGAAGTTAGTTTCAGGTTGGATATATTTTCCTGTAAATACGGCGGTGAAGTTAGTTTTAGGTTGGATATATTTTCCTGTAAATACAGCGGTGAAGTTAGTTTCAGGTTGGATATATTTTCCTGTAAATACCGCGGTGAAGTTAGTTTTAGGTTGGATATATTCTCCTGTAAATACGGCGTTGAAGTTAGTTTCAGGTTGGATATATTTTCCTGTAAATACGGCGGTGAAGTTAGTTTCAGGTTGGATATATTTCCTGTAAATACGGCGGTGAAGTTAGTTTTAGGTTGGATATTTTTTTTCCTGTAAATACGGTGGTGAAGTTAGTTTCAGGTTGGATATATTTTCCTGTAAATACGGCGGTGAAGTTAGTTTTAGGTTGGATATATTTTCCTGTAAATACGGCGGTGAAGTTAGTTTCAGGTTGGATATATTTTCCTGTAAATACGGCGGTGAAGTTAGTTTCAGGTTGGATATATTTTCCTGTAAATACGGCGGTGAAGTTAGTTTCAGGTTGGATATATTTTCCTGTAAATACGGCGGTGAAGTTAGTTTTAGGTTGGATATTTTTTTTCCTGTAAATACAGCGGTGAAGTTAGTTTTAGGTTGGATATATTTTTTCCTGTAAATATGGCGGTGAAGTTAGTTTTAGGTTGGATATATTTTCCTGTAAATACGGTGGTGAAGTTAGTTTCAGGTTGGATATATTTTCCTGTAAATACGGCGGTGAAGTTAGTTTCAGGTTGGATATATTTTCCTGTAAATACGGCGGTGAAGTTAGTTTCAGGTTGGATATATTTTCCTGTAAATACGGCGGTGAAGTTAGTTTTAGGTTGGATATATTTTCCTGTAAATACGGCGGTGAAGTTAGTTTCAGGTTGGATATATTTTCCTGTAAATACAGTGGTGAAGTCAGTTTCAGGTCTGATATATTTTCCTGTAAATACGGCGGTGAAGTTAGTTTCAGGTTGGATATCTGACGGACATTCTCTGAGGATCTACCGGTGTCTTCTCACTCTCCATAACTGGGAATAACAACAGCAGCGCGGTTAAATCTACTCGACACCCTCACTGTCAACGTCGGTGTTGAATAAGGGACCGTCAATAAATTACCAGTTGATGTTCTCAGAAAAGGCTGTTTTCCTTCAATAGCTTCACTGTCATGTGACCAAAAGACCTAAAATTGATTTCTAATAATCGTACTAAGGTCGATCAATAAGACAAACCGATTTATTTTCTAATTTGTCCTCAAAAAATTTCTGTGTTAAATTTAAAGGGAAATTTTGAACATTTTCTTGAATAGCTTCCATTACATGAGACCAATTGACCTAAAATTGATATTACTCATGACGACCAATAAGACAAACATTATTGATCAGTTTTCATTGATCCCCTAAAGTTCTTTGTGCTCCTTTCTAGGAGAACGTGTAAAAAGAGTTATTGTCCAGCCCTGGCTCAACACCAAAGGCTCTCACAGGCGTTCACTCTTCTACACACTCTTCTATTACTGGTCCATCTATCAGCATGGACTATGACTCACCTGTGCTCTGTTATTACATGGTAATAAGGGTTACATTAACTCAGGAGACACCACCTGACAGAGCAGAGAGGGGAGCTCCAAGCCAAGTTTTCACCGGTCGAAGGAAGATAAGGAGATGAGCTTTTCCTCTGCCAGCGGGTCCAGCGATAACGGAGCTCGTCTGGTTTGGCGTGGCTCGATAAGGCTGGCTGTGCCATCCTGTGGGGCTTATCAAGTCCACCAGCAAGCCTCAACAGTCGGTCCCAGAGCCAGAAAATGTTTATGACTGAAGGCGTCAGTTGGTCTTTCTTGACTGTCGGTTGTGTAAGAGGAAAGAAAATGCTGATTTGGATGAGTCTGTTTCTGCAGCGGCCTGATGTGAGGAGTTAGGCCTACGACTGACCTAAAGGGACAATCCCCCTAATTTCTTTAATGGAAAGACATGAAGGAGGGAAAAAAGAGGAAGAAACTAAAACAAGAGCATCGGGGCAGCTGGTGTGAACAGTGAGGGTAGGAAGAGTCTCCGGGATCAGAAACATCAGTCCGTCCAGACTGAGTCTGAGCCGTTATCTCACCACATCAGTGAGATCACAGACAGGATGCTGAAAACAAAATCAAACCTTCTCCATCTGAAGCTGCTCTCATCCTCCTGGTCCTGTTTACTCAGAGTCTTTTCACATTTACAGCCTCTTCACCTTCAACCATCACAGATACTCCACTTTATTCCTCCTGACTCCATCAACCGGAGTCCAACACCTCCATGTCAGAGACTGAACATGTGGCCCCCCATCATCGGAGGAGCAGGATGGACCCTCAGAGAAACAGGGGCCTGTTGATCCTGAAGTAGGACTGTGGAGAGAGAGCTCCTGCCTGAAGACGAGAGGCCCCAACAGACCAGCAACAGCCACCAAAAACAGGTCCACCTTCACCTGGGGGGGCGGGCTGAAGAGGACAGGAGACTATGGCGTTGGTCCCCCCCCTGGAGTGCCTTTAACCCACAGACTGGTGGACAGAAGAACCTTGTCCTGTTTGAGGGACTGATGCCTTCTCACTAGCTGCGTTTCTATTACATTTTTTCGCAAAATAAAAGCGATGTTTATCAAATTTCGACAAAGTACAATTGCGATTTGCGGGTGTTTCCATTGAATGGTGTTCAGTGCATAAGCGAGCCGTCTGCCTCTCGCGAGCCGTGTTTAAATGGCCGTTGCCTAGCAACGAGGTAAACTTCCTGCCCGTGCGACCTCGTATTCCTTAAGCCTTTTTGCACACCAACATGGACGAGACACAAAACATTTTTCGTTTTGGAGCAGCTGTTTCTGTGACCATTACTGCTGTTGCTGCTGCTGTCATCAGAAGATGAAGGCAGCGGGTGATAATTCAAAGGCAAAGCTCGTATGTATGGGAGCGAACATGGATGAGGGATTTCTGGGAGAGAATCGTTAATGAGGAATTCACAGACGAATTGTGGATTCAAAACTTCAGAAAAATACAAATACAATTAAAAACTTCAGAAATAAGTCCGTCTCCTCCCCCGTCCACATATACCGTGCCATCTACGCTTGAAATGAACTGGTCACTTGACCCGCTACGTCACGTCCGGTGACAGAGAATTGCGAGAAAAGTGTTTCCATTACACTTTTGCGATAAACTTCTATATCGACACTTCTAAAAAACCACCACATGAGAGCGTAAAAACTTTTTAGCGATATTTGGGAGGTTTTTCGAAATGTAGGTGTTTCCATTACCAGTTTTCTATTGCGATATTTAGGTTTTGCGCAAATCTATGGGTAATGGAAACGCAGCTACTGAGGAGGGGTCTCCTTCCTGTCAGCCTGTTGGACAGCTTCTCTCACTCAACGCCTCTCCAGCAAACGAGCATCAACAAACATTTAGACAGGAGGTCCCGAACCAGCAGAGGAGGAAATGGTTGAAGTGGGAGTGGGCTTATCCCAGTAACAACGCAACACACAACCCTGCGTTTCACTCCACAGCAACTGTGGAAGAAACGAAGTGGAGAGTGAGAGAGGACGACGAAGAGCGAGACAGGAAGTATCGAGGTCTGAACTTCAGCAGAACTGAGACTGACTCCAAACACGGAGACCGAGTCCCAGACTTCACAGCATCGAGTCCGAGGAGGACAACAGCAGCTGTGTCAGCAAGACTGTTCACATGTTAACGTGTTCACATATGAACATGGTTTAACAGTGACACGTTTACATGTTCACACATACACAGGTTGACATGTTTACAGGTTGACTTTGTCGTGTCCTCATCGTTGCTGAACAAACTGAGGAGGTAAAGTTCTGGTGGAGCGTCTGTAACCATCATGTGTGTAAGTTCACGTGTTCCTCCTCCCTCACCGTACTTCAGCGTGTTTCTGCTCTCGGTCATAAATTCACCGCTCGGGTCTTTACGTCTGCTTACTGCCGCAGTAATCTGACCCAGACCTTCGCCCAGGCGGACATCTACGCAGAAGAGAGGGCGTGCATTCCTCTTCCTGGTCCGGGTGGATCTGTTAGCCATTAGCTGGTGTCAGACAGATGCAGGGACCAAATCCATGAGCTTCACTCAGGAATGGCGTGGTCATGAAAGGGTCAATCACTCACGGGTCATTATTTCAGCAGCAGGCCGTACATTCCTGCTCTGACAGATACGTGATGGGTTCAGAGGTCAAGTTCAGGGCGGGGTTACTTCATCGAATCCTGTCGTTTATCAAACAGACCTCAGATCGGAGTTTTGAAATCTTTGATAAAGTTTCAACGACTCTTTCCTCCGACTGAAAATTCGACAGGAGATTCATGAAACCAAGCACCCCGTGACCTCCACGGTGACCTCCGCGGTGACCTCCACGGTGACCTCTACGGTGACCTCTACGGTGACCTCCACGGTGACCTCCACGGTGACCTCCACGGTGACCTCCACAGTGACCTTCCAGACTGAGGCTCTCACAGACACAGACCCTGTGCTGGATCTTCTTCCAAGTGTCTGTTCTGCTCAGACCCTGGTATCTGGTACCGTGGGCCGGGAACCGCAGCCTGATGGCGTTGGCGCCTCAGGTGTTGAACTGTCAGGAGTGAGCAAACACACATGCTCTCCTATATACAGTCGGCGGGTTCTATACGGCCCGGCCGTGTCAGCCTTACACCATTAACATTCCTCCCATAATAACTACCACATGGACTGGATCAGCACCAGAGGCCCGTCCTCCTGATCCCACAGAACCCCTTCATGTCTCTGAATCCATGTATTTGAGGTGGATTTTCTCAGACCTGTCGGGACTCTCTCCCCAGTGTTGAAAAGTTTAATTTGGGCTCTAAATTTAACGAGACTCGTTAAAATCCGAGTGTACACAGCGCCCCTCCCAGCGGAGCGCTCTGCCTCGCCGCTCGCGTGAGAAGTCGTTTTCTATCTTCCTGCCTTTTCTTCTTCACCGACGGGCAGGAGAGAGAGAGAGAGAGAGAGAGAGAGAGAGAGAGAGAGAGAGAGAGAGAGAGAGAGAGAGAGGAGAGAGAGAGAGAGAGAGAGAGAGAGAGAGAGAGAGAGAGAGAGAGAGAGAGAGAGAGAGAGAGAGAGAGAGAGAGAGAGAGAGAGAGAGAGAGAGAGAGAGAGAGAGAGAGAGAGAGACTCCTCTTGTTGTTGAGTCCAGGATGTTTTTTTACTCTTTTTTTTGAACCCCCCCGATTCTCTGTTTTCCTTTTTTCTACAGGAAGTCCTGGGCTGTGGTCCAATCACTGAGTTTTCATGAAGACGTGATGATAGCCGGGTGATTGCTGCATGAGGAAAGGGTGAAGTAAAGGCCTTCATTTAAAGAAGCTGCGCTCGATAAAGCTTCAAGTAGAACTTCAGTGCAGAGAGAGAGAGACCAGGATGAGGTCCAGAGGAGGAAGCCGAGGAACCGGCTATCAGAGGCTTTCATCCAACAAAAACAGACGTGCTGGTCCTCTCTGCATCAGGCAGGGTGGACCCACGTCTGTTCAGATCATCAATCCAAGAAGCTCTCTGCGTCTCTCTGGATGAGCTGGGCTCTGCTGACAAACAGCTGATCTTTATTTACCACACAAACACCTCGGCTCTCTCAGCGTTCTGTGCTCTTAGGCCTGTGGCGGCCTGGGACCAGACGGGGTTATCTTTGTAATTGAGGAAACTAGAAAGTAAAGCAAAGATTTATCTGTGAAGAAGTCCCATGATACCAAAACCCGCCCAAATGTGCAGCAGCAGCCAGTGAAGCTAAGGTGCAGAATGTGAGGACTTCAGGTCACAGTGAAGAGCACAGAGTCGGCCACAGTTAAAGGCTGTTTTACTGCCAAAGTTCCTGTCTGAAACCTCTGGGGGATCAAAGTGGTCCCCCTCTTTAAGATCAGGATCAGGGGGTCTTCAGAGGGTCTCATACTGGACGTCTTTCTGCTGTCGTAAAAAAAAGCACATCTCTGCACTTTCTCTGTATCATGTTTTGCACATGTGGTTTTGCTCCTGCAGCATTCGTGCCGTACTCAGACGTCTCTGTCTGCGCTCGTTTTGACTGATGTCTAACGCACATTCTTCTGTAACCATATCGGCACGGCACTAAATCCTCAACACACCTGTTAGAGCCGGGAGAGTCGAACCCCAGCCCCGGCCAGCTGCAGCAGAGTCATCAGGACTGAGACGTACTTCTCTTCTCTACACTGATCTGTGAGGGCCTCAGAGTTCGGGTTCGGCTCCTGATTTACCTGGAAGTGTCAGAATTTCCTGCTGAGTGTCTTTTTCGGCCTCTGATACGAACACGTCAGGAAGCTTTGGACTTATTTTGCACTTCTATGTAACATAAGAGACGCCGCTTTGTAAACACGATGGGAGCTCGGGATTGTTCTTAATTACTAACCACTAACATGCTGATTACCCGCCTGCACAGGCTTCCCTCAGAGCGGGCTTATCAGGGCGTGCAACTGTTCCCCTCAGCAGCGACTACAGGAAACGAGGGGTGGGGTGCATTCATGGGGGGGTGGGGGGTGGAGAACAGGCTGAAGCTGGATGAAGAGCAGACTGTCATCTTCGTCTTCCTCCCATGGCGTGGAGTAAACGTGTTTCAGACAGAGAGAAGGTTCTGGAGTCTGAGGAGATGGTTGAGGGGTGATCCATGAGGTCTGAAGACCCGGGTCCTTGGATAGTCCTGCTGCTCTTTACCCACATACCTGCTTCAGTGCTGGACTTCCAAGTCCCTCAGTCTGAGTCCGGCTCAGTGACCTCTCCTTTTAATCACGGTCTCATAAATCAAGTCTTCTGGGGGTCTCACACACGTTCACATGGAGACCTGTCTGAGATGTTAGACAGCCCCCCCACCCTGAACCCCACCCCCACCCTGAACCCCCCCCCCACCCTGAACCCCACCCAACAAACCGTGTTTTACAGTTTGAATTAATGACCTGACAAGACCGGGGTTTAGTCTGTCATACAGACCGGCCTGTTTCAGCTCAGGAGTCCACACAGAACCCCCCCCCCCGACAGAAGAATGCAGGCTGGTCTGTGTGTGTGTGTGTGTGTGTGTGTGTGTGTGTGTGTGTGTGTGTGTGTGCGTGTGCGTGTGTGTGTGTGTGCGTGTGTGTGTGTGTGTGTGTGTGTGTGTGGGGAGGGGGGCATACTGGTCATACTGATATGAAGTTGATACTGGGGGGTTTGACCTTTGCAAGAACAAGAGCCGAGGTTACCGCGGCAACATGGAGGAGGGGCCATAAACAAAGGTCAGCCACAAGGTCATGACCCCGTAAAAGACACGAAGATGGAGAAGACCCCGTGAGCTCTGAGACGTGAGGACTGGACCGGGCCTGTGGGACTGAAAAAAACTCACAACACTGTCTTATTTTGTAGGAGCTGATTCCTTGTGTTTTATTTTGTAGGAGCTGATTCCTTGTGTTGTATTTTGTAGCAGCTGATCCCTTGTGTTTTATTTTGTAGGAGCTGATTCCTTGTGTTGTATTTTGTAGGAGCTGATTCCTTGTGTCTTATTTTGTAGGAGCTGATTCCTTGTGTCTTATTTTGTAGGAGCTGATTCCTTGTGTTTTATTTTGTAGCAGCTGATTCCTTGTGTCTTATTTTGTAGGAGCTGATCCCTTGTGTTTTATTTTGTAGGAGCTGATTCCTTGTGTTTTATTTTGTAGGAGCTGATTCCATGTGTTTTATTTTGTAGGAGCTGATTCCTTGTGTTTTATTTTGTTAACCTCTCATCAGTCTGTCTCTCCTTTACCTGTTTGTGTTTGTAGTTCTTCTCTTCTTCTCGGTTCTTCTTGTTGGTTCATTGTCTGTGTGTGTGTGTGTGTGTGTGTGTGTGTGTGTGTGTGTGTGTGTGTGTGTGTGTGTGTGTGTGTGTGTGTGTGTGTGTCGATGTGTGTGTCGATGTGTTCAGATGAAAACCCAAAGTCAGCTAAAGCAGGACTCAGACCTGGTCAAAAACCAGGACCGGACTCTCCCTTCAGGTCTGGGATGGATGGACTGAAGGATGAGAGGATCAGCTGTAGTCAGGGTGGAGTTCTCCTCTGTGTTTCAGAATGGTAGATCTGTGTGTAGGTAGGTCGATGTGTGTGTGTGTAGCTGGAGTAGGACTCAAAGATGGCGGACGTCAGGGCCTGATGTCTTGTTTATTTTCCATAACTCAGTTTTACGGTGCAGTTGTGAGGGGGCAGAGATAGAGCTCTTAATGGATTTCCTGGAATGTGAAGTTCACAGGAAGGCCAGATTGAAGAGATAAAATAATGAGCTGTTTATCTTGGCCGTTTTTCTCTCTGTTTGTTGCCTTCATGTTCAAACTCTCTCAGAATCTTCCAACTTAAAAACAGCCCCACACATTTATTTCCAGCAGCCATAATAGAGTCTGTTTGATGACGCTGCCAAACTCTTATCTGAGAGACTGATGGAGGTTTTTACACAAAGGAAGAGAAGATGTGATGAAACTTTACGAAAACCTGCTCAGGAAGTTTGTTTGTGGAAAAACCACAGTCACTTCACTGTCTGCAAAACAACACAGAGACAATAAAGACACACAGCAGCAGGTCTGGGGCTGTTATGGTCGACGATGACCGAGCTGATGAAGATCAATATCATTTCAATTAATTATTATTTCATCAAACCATCAAACAAACTCAAAGGAAGTGTGAACCAGCAGACAGTTAGTGAGCTCCTTTAGCTGTTCCCTTTATCGTGAAAATGTGTTTAAAAAAACACGTTATTGTCTTTAATTATTATTATTATTATTATTTATTATTATTATGTTTATTATAATTATCATAATTATTGTTATAATTATTATGTTTATTATGTATATTATGTTTATTATTACTATAACTATTATTATTATTGTTGTTATTATTATTATTATCATTATTATTATGTTTATTATTACTATTACTATTATTATTATTATTGTTGTTATTGTCATCATTATAATGTTTATGATCAATCAGTCAACACAGGGATTGTAGCACAAAGTGCTGTCCATTCAGACAAGATATTATTATAATTATTATGATAGTTATTATTTATTTTCATCATTAATGTTATTATTATTATAATAATAATTATTATTATCATTATTATCGTTAATATTGTTATTGTAATTCTTATAATAATGATAATAATAATTGTAATAATTGTCATTGTAATAATAATAATAATAATCATTATTATTATTATTAAGATTGCCATTTTTATTTTTATTATTATTATTATTATTATTATTATTTTAGTAGTAGTGAATCAGCTTCTGTTTAGAGCAGAGCTCTGCCCTCTGTCCTCCTGACAGAAACTGTTCGTCTCTTGTTTTAGTGAAGTGGCTCCATGTTGAATCCTGTTCCTCTGTTGAAACAGCTCCGGTGCTCACAGTCAGATCTCAGACCGAGGACATTTCAGCGAAGACAACCTTATCCTTTAACGATTGGACTGGAAATCTTTGGACATGACCACGGCTTTAGTACTTCCACCACAACACCGGCACAGTTCAGGGATAAGTGCGATGGCAGGAATCAAACTGACAAAGAGATAAAATCAGATTTTATCATGAACTCATAATCATGAATTCATAGTCAAGAACTTTATCATAGGTCAAAGTTTGGGCCGTGAAAAAGCTTCCACTCTGGTGTTTGACAGAATCATGAGTCTGCAGAAGTAGATCAGCTGCAGAGTTTCTGATATCTCTCATCATTTAGGAGTCATTTCTTAGCGGGTCCAGGAAAACCCTCGGTCCGCTCAGCTCCAAGACAAACAGAGAGGTGTCGGCGGCGATGATTAACTCCTGGCTCTGGGCTCATTTTTGGACACACTTTCAGAGCGGAGGAGTGGAGAGGCCCAGAATCCATGTCCTGGAGGTCCAAGTGAAGTGTCCTCCGTCTGTGATGATTTGGGGACATGTCACCTGCTGCTGTTGTTTTATCAGAGTAACACAGCCTAAAGTCGACCCGGAGGACTCCCCACAGCACCAGAACCACCGTTTGGTTTGGCGACCATGATCTAACTTTATCCACCAGCCAACCCACCTGATCCTGAACCCAGTACAGACCAGCTGGAGCTCACAACCCCAGCAGGGCCACAGGCCGAGCGCCTCCAGGTCACGGCGAGGGACGGAGCGGCGCGGCGGTAAGTTTCTCGTGTGTAAATGACCATGATGGTCAGAGATGGTCGTGTTCGTGTTTTTATTGATCTGCAGGAAAAAGATTCTTCAAAGTTTTCAGAACGACAAAGAAGAAGAAACATGAGAGTGTCTGTGTGTCTGTGTGTCTGTGTGTCTGTGTCTGTCTGTGTCTGTGTGTCTGTGTGTGTCTGTCTGTGTCTGTGTGTCTGTGTGTCTGTGTCTGTGTCTGTCTGTGTCTGTGTGTCTGTGTGTGTCTGTCTGTGTCTGTGTGTCTGTGTGTCTGTCTGTGTCTGTGTGTCTGTGTGTCTGTGTCTGTGTGTGTCTGTGTCTGTCTGTCTGTCTGTGTCTGTCTGTCTGTCTGTCTGTGTCTGTGTGTCTGTGTCTGTGTGTCTGTGTCTGTCTGTCTGTCTGTCTGTGTCTGTCTGTGTCTGTCTGTGTCTGTCTGTGTGTCTGTGTCTGTCTGTGTCTGTCTGTGTCTGTGTGTGTGTCTGTGTATGTGTGTCTGTCTGTGTCTTTGTCTGTGTCTCTCTGTCTGTGTCTGTCTGTGTGTCTGTGTCTGTCTGTGTCTGTCTGTCTGTCTGTGTCTATGTCTGTGTGTCTGTGTCTGTGTCTGTCTGTGTCTGTCTGTCTGTGTGTCTGTCTGTGTCTTTGTCTGTGTCTGTGTCTGTGTCTGTCTGTCTGTGTCTGTGTGTCTGTGTGTGTCTGTGTCTGTCTGTCTGTCTGTGTCTGTCTGTGTCTGTCTGTGTGTCTGTGTCTGTCTGTGTCTGTCTGTCTGTGTATGTCTGTCTGTGTCTGTCTGTGTGTCTGTGTCTGTCTGTGTCTGTCTGTGTCTGTGTCTGTGTCTGTGTCTGTCTGTCTGTGTCTGTCTGTCTGTGAGTCTGTCTGTGTCTTTGTCTGTGTCTGTGTCTGTCTGTCTGTGTCTTTGTCTGTGTATGTGTGTCTGTCTGTGTCTTTGTCTGTGTCTGTGTCTGTCTGTCTGTCTGTCTGTCTGTGTCTGTGTGTCTGTGTCTCTGTCTGTCTGTCTGTGTCTGTGTCTGTGTCTCTGTGTCTGTCTGTGTCTGTGTCTGTGTGTCTGTGTCTGTCTGTCTGTCTGTCTGTGTGTCTGTGTCTGTGTGTCTGTCTGTGTCTGTCTGTCTGTGTCTGTCTGTCTGTCTGTCATTTTTCATTTTTAACATTTAACCCTGAATCTAAAATTCGTCCAATGAAAGCAGCCGATAGTTCGCTCTTAGCTCCACCCACTGTGTGACCATAAATGGGCGTGTGATGCAGGAGTAGTTTCAACAGCAGAGACAGACCAATCACTGGCTGGTTGATTGATTGGTTGATTGATTGGTTGATTGATTCCTGCTCAGAGAGAGTTTGTCTCTGATCAAACGTCACTTCGATGAAGAAATCATGAATCTGAGTGTCTGAGTTTATCCTCAGTATTGATCTCTCTGTATTTTCATTTTCAGAGGTCATAAATATTGATTATCCACGTTTAACTGATCAAACCCTCCCTGCAGGTCGGTGCTGTTGTTCTTTTTGACCGAATTGTTCTGGTGATCCGTGTTCTCTGGATCAGACTGAGTCATTTTAAAGTCGGGATGAAACTCGTGTGTCTAAAGCAGCAGGTGAGACATTTCTCTTCTTCTTCTTCTTCTTCTTCTTCTTGAACTTCTTCCTGTTTTTAAGTTTGAGACGTGAGAGAAACTCGCCGGTCCAACCCTCAACAAGTCCACAAACAGGACTTTGGCTGGAGCCCTCATTAAGAATTCCTCAGGACCATCAAATTGTGTTTTGCTTTGTCCCCGCTGACGTCCAGGGAGGAAACCCATCCTCATGAGCCAAGTCCATGAGGGGGGTGTTCACCACCCAGGCCCCGCTCTTCTTCTGTCCTGTCATTGGTCACCACAAAACCTGCTTAACTTTAAAAGCAGACACGGTTTTCTCCCTCCCTTCACACGACCCAGCCTCCTTAAAAGGACTGACAGGGAGCGCTGGTCAGGCAGACTCAGTGAGTGAGTGTGTTTGTGCGAGTGTGTGTCTGTGTGCGTCTGTCTGTCAGACTCAGATCAGCACAGTCGGTCTCAGGATGCCTGCGTACGCTACCAACATGAGGCTCAAGTTCCCCATCGTGGCCCTGGTTTTGGAGATAGTGACCATCATCTTGTTCGCGTTGTTTGTCGTCTACGATGATGGGAAACATCACGGTGGACACGGTGCAAAACCCAACGAGACCCACCATGAAGCGGGGCCCATGGACCTCTACCCCAGTAAGTCGACCTGGAGGATGCTCTCGTGACGTTTTGTCCTCAAAGTCTGTTTGAAGTTCACATTTTCTGTCCTTCGCTGATTCAGGGAGATTTTATGAATCTGAAGTATTTGTGACTCATGTGATGATGTTTAGGAGAGAAAGGATGTTGATGAGATTGTTCTGCCTTAAGCTGTGAAGGTCATTGGAAAAACGTGAACTTTGTTCCACCAATTAGATTCACACAGAAATAGAAGAGTTGGAGGTCTGCTGAATGCCATTAGAGGAGTCATGGGGTTGTCCGTACACATGCAGCTGAAGAGCCCAGATGATCCTGCTGGGAACAGTGTCAGGTCTCCCACCGCTGAGGTCACATGTGACTTCAGTTATTGACTCGGACACAGAGCTAATAAAGGGCAGAGAGTCTTGTTAGAGGACCGAGCGCTCGCTTCTGTTGAGTTTTCTCTGCCTGTTTATTCAGATAGCTGCAGCGATGAACGGCCGTGTTACCTAATGGACACCCACGATGGGGCGGGGCAGATATGACTGACAGATATGGGCCTGATAGTCAGCATTAAGGCTGAGGGTCAGGTCGGCTGTTGTTGACATCCTTCAGTTTTGGTTTTTTTTGGTTCTCCATGAATCGTATTAAATTTTAGATTTGAAAACTTCCTGCTGACACATTTGAGGACTGTCTCATCCGGTTTTGTCTGATCCGGTTTTCCCTCATGTTCCCTCATGGTTTTCTGTCCATGTAAGCTCAGGCTTACATGGACAGATCAGCTGTTCAGTACAGACCAGACATCTCTGAGGATGTCCTCAAAGACAGACAGATGGGCAGAGGAGTGTGGGCTGGAGCAGGAGAAACCAGAGATGTTTCAGCATCATGTGAGAAGAAGAGGGAGAGAGAGAGAGAGAGAGAGAGAGAGAGAAAACCTTCAGAACAAACTGATTTCTCTTTTCGACGTTATAAAAGCTAGAATCCTGATTCATCCTCAGTTCTGGCAGCATCTCTGATCCAGGGTCTCCTCTAACATCTGAACACAGCAGAACCAGCCTGAACCCCCCTGATGTGAATGTGACGGAGGGTCAAAGTGCAAACTGGCTTTCAACTCCACACATGTGTGAGCTACTTCAAATATTGACACCTCCGCTAACCTCAGCTGATATGAGTGTGAATGTTGTAAAGACCGACCACCTGTCTCCAGCCCAGAGCAGGGACAGGAACAGACCGACCACCAGTCCACGTGGAGAGACTGTTTTCTTTGCTGGTTTGATGCTGATGACCAAAAACTTTTCAACTTTTCAACATCAGACTGAGAGAGCAGAACAACTCTACCGAAGAAAACCCTGTTCTGTTT